AATATAAGATGTACTTAAATGTCTGTATCGAAATTTATACCGAAATAACTATACTAAAATATATTAAATGAATTAATCTACATAAATGCAGAACACAAAGTGTATTGAAATATAGTTTACCTAAATAACCATAACCGAAAAAAAAAAAAGAAAAAAAAAAAAGGGGAATATAATTAAATGAAGAAAAAGAAAAATAATATAATTATGAGGTTACTAAATGTATCAAGGGACTAAATTTGATTTTAATCTTACACAATGTTTTAGTTTGAAAGTTATATTTTTTTTAAGGATTAGAATTCAGTTTTGTATTTTAAATATGTTATTGTTGGTACTATGTGTGACTTGCAGAAACTTACGTATGTGAACCTGAAGTTCGTAAACTTTAGATCAAAGATTTTAGGGTTTAGGACCCTGGGGGCGCCGCTTTAACCAAAGGGTTGACTATCTATCAGTGTTCCCCATAACATCCTAGCATCTCATCATCAACGTATACGATTCAGATTTGACAGTTGTTCAACTTGATCTCAACTTGACTGGCAAAGCAATAATATGGGTTAAACAAAACGAACAAATTCACGCAAACAACTAAAAAACTCATAATGAGCAGAGGAATGAAACAAAAAACAAGGAAAAATCAAAAGACGCACCTACTTTGCCTGTAGAACACTGAAGCACAAGCTGTTTGCTTATAAAGCTAACTGCGTACGTATGCCTTCTTTTCCCTTTCTAAGTAAAACTGAGTAATGGGAAATTGAAATTGTCAAAAAATGAAATCGAGAGGCACGGGAAACAACGAAATTGACAGAACGTAATATTATTTTTTTTCTTTTGATTTTCGGATTCGACTTTTCACTTTTATAAGTAAAGGAAAGTAGATTAAGCAAAGGAAGGTTGCTGTGATGAAGAAACCAAAACCAGACAACAGAAGGGCAATGGGAAGAATAACTCTCTTAGCAGAAGAAGATGAGATAAATAATGCATGAGAAAGATAACGTGGTACGACAGAGAAATGCAATTAAAAAAGACCAAAAGTGAGGACTTAGTCTGGTATATGGTTGGTAAGAAATGGCTGTCTTAGTTGACGTCAATCTTAAATTAAAACTTAATTTTCATGGCAATTAGTTAGCACTTTAGCGTGGGAATCTACACCAATTATTTAGCACATTTGATTCCTCGACGACATTGCACTGGCTGTAATAGCTATGAAAATAATTTTATTTTATTCTATTATGTTGGGGTTTGAATCTGATTCAAGCAAGCACTTGACCAGTAAGTCTTTTAAGTTGATCAGTAAGCCTAAGGAGGTCGCATGATCACTTGATCAGAAAGCCTCTGTTAGCTATCCACTCATTGTTGAAATTTAAGTTAATATATCATTAATTAACGTAATGCTATGGTTTAGTTTTTCAGTTACCCTTTTAATTAAGTTATTCCAATTGTGTATGTATGTATGTATGTATGTATGTATGAATGTATGTATGTATACACACACACCGAAACTTGGACATGTCAGCAACGTGGAGTTTTAGTGGGCTCAACACCTACCACGCTAACAGTTAATAGACAAATTGACGGGTAAGTAAACGAGGTCCGACATTGCAATAAATTTGTAAGTTGATGTATGACATTCCAATGTTTAAAGATGAGGTATGAGTTTGTTATGTGACTCAAAGTTGAGATGTTATAATGTCATTTTCTCTTTTTTATTTTTTAATAAATGGGTGTGGAAGTGGGCGTGCTCAATGCCCTATTATCACTTAACAATTGATTTGACAAAATTTTTTAACAGAGATCTTATATTATAATGAATCATAAGTTGATGTATCACATTACAATGTTTAAAAGATAAAGTATGAGCTTTTTTATTTGATCCAAATGCTAAATCACATGGGGCATCAGGTTGTTGAAAAATGAGTTTCTAGCCAACTTATTGACAACAATCTCAAAATTTTATATTTATAGACACGATTACTTCGTTTATTATTTATTTACTTAATCTTCTTCTACAGATGAAAATGGTAAATTACATTGTATAGTGGAATGGTGCCCACGTCATCACATGTAGCCTTCTACATGCTGGGCTATGCAGAATTGCGTATTAATCTTTTGGACGTGGATTGTTTGTCCTTCCCATCTTATACCCTTCCCATCTCTTCTTATTTCTGTGATCACGGTTAAGTCACATCAACATTTTATATTTATATTGTTTTTTGTCTTATTATTTCTATAAAAATAATTAATATAAAATATTGACGTGACTTAACCGTAACCACATAATATAGAAGGGGATGAGAAATGTATGGGATGGGGAGGGCAAACAATCCAGGTGCTAATCTTTTACTATGGTGAAATTACAATTATTTCCCCATTGTATTTGTACATCATGTAAGATCGAACAATTAAAAATTACGTAATATAAAATATTTTGAAGTACTATATAATTTTTTGAATGGAAGACGAAAGTAGCAATATTCGAATCCCTTCCATCAAATCCTTTTAATTTATAAATTTGGACATTAGAAATTTGATCAAACGGTTAAAATTATTATAACTTTTAAAAGAATCTCTTTTTTGTAACTGTTGTATCAAGTTTCAAAAACCCGAATTTATGAATATGAAGGATTTGATGGAAGGGATCTGGAGAAGATCCCTTTCCAATTACATATGTCATGTGCGTAGTCATCCAGAAAATAAGCAGGATGTCATGTTGATGTGAAGGAGACATGATAAACTTGTATAGCCAGCTGTCATAACGCTAGAATATGTATATGAACAAATCATTCAACTCTTATGTCGCTATATAGGAAATTAATAGAAAATTTTAGTCATTAAAAAATCAATAATTCAAGTGCAAAATTAAAATATTAAATTATATATACTAAAACCCAGTTGGGGACCCCATTGTTCATTAATAGTGTCTGGACGGATTTGCCCCTCGGTTTCTTCTTGAACACCTGTTGTGTGCCCTCTTTTACACAGTGAAATGACCACTTTGTCCTCGCTGGCCACGCATTCTTCATCGATGGCCTTTCTTGTTGGATTTCTCTGTTGTTTCATTCTCTACCTTCCATTTCCTGCAATCGCTTTTTTCTTTTTTTTCTGCTCCACATCTACACGTGTTGGTCATCGTAGAAAGAAAAGTGGTGGAAAGTCGACGAGAGCAGTGGAAAAACCCATTTACTAATCTCAAAAAGGGCATCCCCCCATCACTGTTCTTGAGTTCTTTTGATGAAGTTTTCTCTCTCTGACTTTCTTGCTAAAAAGAGTAAATTGTAGCTATGGTCCCTTAACTTTAACTCAATTAGAGCAATGGTCCCTCAACTCAAAATCCATTACCATTAGTCCCTCAACTTTAATTCAACTGGAGAAATGGTCTCTTAACTCTAACCCAATTATAGCAATGGTCATTCTAGCATAACTCGTTTTGACAAAAATTTTGACGTAGTTGACGAAAATGACCATAATTACACACTTTGATGAGTTGAGGGACCCTTATTATATAAATGGTTATTCCAACATAACTTATTTTTACAAAATTTTGACGAAATTGATGAAAAGGATTATAACTACATATTTTGATAAGTTGAGGGACCAATAGTAATGAATTTTTAGTTGAGGGACCATTGCTCCAATTTGATTAAAGTTGAGGGACTATTGCTACAATTTACCCTGCTAAAAACGACGGAACCAGTCAAAATTTGTGCAGATGCTTTTTATTTTTTCAATTGATGCTTTAGCAGTTTCTATTATCTACTTTTTCGGGTATAAATCGTATCTATAATTTCAAAATACATGTTCTTCATGACAATCTATGGTATTTATGAAATAATTCATGTTAAAGTAATTTTTTTTTCCCTTCCCTTCACTGCAATCTTGGCGAAAAGCACGTGCAGACTTACAGCAGATGCACTATGCATGTAAGTAAAACATTTTACTATCATGTCTTTCTTGGTTAGTGATTCTGGTATAGCTGATTGATGTGAATGTCAATTGTGTGGTTTTTGTCCCTGGCTTTATGCTTAATGCAGTGTATTTTCTATATATACAATTTTCTCCTTCAGTTTCTACTGTTTTCGTTTTTTTGAGTTATGTATGTTGGATAGTGGCCAAATTAGTTCCTTGTTTTGTGGCTTTTTCAAAGCCATGTTTTGTGGCTTTTTCAAAGTCATGTTTTGTGGCTTTTTCAAAGCAATGTTTTGTGGCTTTTTCAAAGCCATGTTTTGTGGCTTTTCCAAAGCAATGTTTTGTGGCTTTCGGGTGGGAGAAGGCTTGGATTAAGAAAAACATAAAAAGAGATGGTGAGAGCATTTGGAAAAACAAGGGCACGGGAGAAGAGAGAGTTGTAGAGAGAAATCAAGAGAGCTAGAGTGAAAGGTCTCTTGTGAAAGAACTCTTGGGGTAGAGTGAGGCTCTTGGGAAAATTCTGTGAGTGGGTGTACAAGGGATATGAGATTGGGTTATGTCGATTTAACTCATGTGTAACTTGTACTGTTTTTCTCATAGTGAAGAGCAATATCTCTCCGAGGACGTAGGCAGGTTTTTGCCGAACCTCGTAAATTTCTCGGTGTCTTTATTTCTTGTATTTTAAACTATTCAACTGTGGGTTTGTATGTTGGTGAAGATAATCAGCCAAGGCACAACAATGTATACTATTGATGTTGTTACTGTAGCTTGAGAAGCTGAGCGATATGCAGTGCCAACTTGAGTCACAACTGAAGTTCATTACAGAGGTCTGGCTACAGGTGCACCACAAATTACCACACTTTTCTATCAAGAGTATTGCTTTTTTTTCTTTTTTTCTTTTTTATTATTAAATTTTCTCCATTTTCAGATAGTTGAATGTAGTCGAGTACTAAAATTGACATATGTTGATGGATGTTATTTGCTGGAGCATGAACATGCCAAGTTGTTTTAAGTATTTGCAAGGTATGTCATTTTCTCAAAGCTCAAAGAGAGACAAGGCATCATGTTGCTTTGTCCTAATTTATTTATGTTTTTGCAGGTGAAGATGAGCTTGGGTTGGAAAGGGTTCATCAATGTGCAGAAAATGAGCTACAAGTTTACCTCAATGATAAGGACATCAAAAGATTTCAATGAGTTTCGCACAAAACTTGCTGGATTGACCAGGTTATGTTCCACTAAAGATATTACACTACTTTTCTGATTGGATAAGTTGATTCGGGTTACAATGATATAGCTTTTCAGTTTATTCATACTAAGATATTAGTTTTGCTAAGTGGCAATGCCATGATTGAAATTTTATAGAAGTGATGAATGGGCCAATCTGAAATACTAAATTTCAGCTGATGAACTCACTCTTATTATGACTATTATTGCATATACTCATTTTTTATTTCGTTGGGTTTTATTTTTATTTCAATTTTTTTGGTTTCGCAAAGAACTGAATTTTATCTTATCTATAGCTCTATACGCATGTAGTTTTTCTCTTTTTCGGTTTCGAGTATTTGGTTGGTTTTATTTAACAATCTTTTGGAATATAGAGAATCTTTGCACCAATGTCTTATTCCTAGATTTCCTGATGAATTGGCATTGAGATGTTAAGCAAAGGTGTCCCCTGGGAACCACAGATTGCTCGAAACTATCTCAAAGAAGTGGAGAGATTTGTTACGTAGCGCCAGACTATGCCAACTATGAAGCTCTAGAAAAATGGTACGGAAATTGGCCGTTTGTCATTTACGAGGTATAATCCAATAGCTAATAAGTATGCTTCTATATTCGACACTTCAAATATGTCTAGAACTCATGTTGTTATTACGACTTTCATTTTTACAGAAGGAAAGTTTTTTCGTTCTTCATTTCTTGCTATATCATCTTGGGTTGTGCAAACTATTCATTATAGGGGATCCTTTCATGTATATAGTTGTTTCTTGCTAAGATTTCTGCAAACTATTTTTTTTATGTCGAAGTTGAAATCTTATTTTAGGGTTGCAAATAGATTTCATATGTATATAAATATATATATACACATTATAACTTTCTACATATTTTATACGATTTTAAAACCCGCAACACAGCGCGGGCACTTTTGCTAGTCTATACGAATACCCACCACTAGTGAACCAGCACTTACTAATTTGAAGATTTGTCATAATGTTAGAAAATGGATATGAAACCAATAATTCAACTCTTATGTCGCTATATAGGAAATTAATTGAAAATTGAAGTTCTTGAAAATTTAATAATCAAGTGCAAATTATATAAAAATAAAAAATAAAAAAAAAGTATTACTATGTCCACTCCTCTTCCTTATTTCCTCACCCCACTTGCTTTGTCACCCACAATTCTAGACAAACGATATTTTTACCATTTATTTTTATCATTCACCATTAAAAGTAAGAAAATTAAGAAATCATATTTTTATCATCTATTTGTATCGTCTCTCTAATAAATATGAGACTCACATGGGTTATCTTTATTAGAGAGATAATACAAAAGATGGTACAAATAAATGGTAAGTGTAGCATTACTCACGAAAAATATAATACTATTTTTACACCCACCATTATTCCTAAAATAAGATTATATATTAAAGGGTGAATTACCAATTTAGTCTCTAAATTATCACATGAGTGAAAATTAGATCCATAAACTATTTTTTCAGAAAGTCTGTCATTGAATTATAAAAATATGCCAATTGCATCCTTAATATAAATTAGATTCATAAGTCACGTTACTTGCATGTGATACATATTGGAGGGTAGATGAGTATTTTTTATATAGAAATAGTGTATAGAGTTAACTTTGGAGGGTAAATTATGTTAGATTCGCAATCTATAAGAAATGTTAAGAGCTTATAGACGAAAAAATGACGGTATTACAATCTAAATTGTGTCAAATGACTTAAATTGACGAAAAATTGGATAAAATAGCTTTGATTATAATATTAGGGATAAAATTAGCAATTTTTTGATGAATTTAGGAACTTATTTTACCGAAAAAATGTTTCAGATGCCTAAATTTCATTGAGATGATAATTCAGTGTCTAAATCGACATTTCATCTTATATTAAAAAAAACTCCCAACCACATGTTGGAGTGTGCAAAAATAAGCTACACAATGATTTCCCCAAAATACACCCGCACAACCACCACCAACACAGCTGCGCCTTCCCACCAACACCCAGAGCCAACCCCAATCCCAAATCTTGTAGAACCACCACTAGACTTGTAAACGGGTCGGTTTTATTGGGTTCAGGTTAGTTTTAATCCGACATGTTAAAATAATGGGTCATTCGAATTTAACCCGTTAAGTTAACGGGTTACCAAAACCTAACTCGTTAATCTAATGAGTCACCCGTTTAACCCATTTCACCCATTAACAATTTTTTTTTTTTTTAATTTTACATTCCAATACTAATTACATGTATTTTGTATTGGGTTGCTAAGAAAACGAAAGACAATCTCATTTTCCCACACTAACCCACATTTTACATCCGTTTTTCAGCTACCAAACATAATAATAAAAGCATAACTTAATGACCATCGTTCATGGTCCTTCCTATGCCGGCTGTAAAGAAGAATCACATCTGGGCATTCAAAAACCTTCAAAAGAAAAAAAAAAAAAAAATTATTATTAACACTCTAAAAATCTCATTTGCACTTCAAACATTTTATAATTAGAATGAAAAATGCAGTTATGAGGAGTACATAATGAGATTTTTAAAATGCTAATAACAATTTCCAAACAAAAACCCAAAACAAATATATATAAAAAAAAAAAAAAACAATATAATCATAAAGAATTGAAAAAAAAAACAATAAAAAAAATTCAAAAAATTCAAAATTTAGAAATGAAGAAGGTACCCACCAGATCAAACGGAGAGTATGAGAAGTATGAGAAGGATGGAATGGACATTGTGGGCCACCCAGAAAAGTATAGCCAACCCGAATCCAGAAAGCAGGTGGACCACCAGTGCCTCCGCCGTGGATATTGCTTTCGAGGAGGGTTTAGCGGCTACTCTTTGTTCTTCTGCTTCATTGTTGCTTTTTGAAATAAGCTACTTCTGCAAAAAGCAATCTCCTTTGATTGTTGCCTATTCAATTGTGTGTTTGTAATTGGAGAATATGAGAGATTTGATGTAGAAGAAGAATAGGAGAGTGGAGGTCAGGACGACGGTTGTCTCGGAATCTTATTCCTTATTGAAATTACACAAACACTCTCAATTTACAAGCGTTAACAGGTCATGCAGTAGACACAAAATGATCCCGTTATTTAACGGGTGACTATCAGGTTTTCTTGTTAATGACCCGACTGGTTAAACATCCACTCAAATAATAATTTTAACAGACGGTTTGGGTCGAGTTTACATATTAAGTCTAAAATGCTAGGTCTAACCGTCACGACTCCCAAGTCTCCTACCTCCACCCATCTAGGCCTTCTCTGTACATAACTTTTAGTCATCGAATTCGAATGAATATGACAAGCTATTGTGTGTGAGAGATGGGAAACATGAAGTGCACAAAGAACTTCATCTACATCATATCCAGCACAAGAACATGGCAGTCCCATGCTTAAATTAGCCCCAGACTTCCTCAGCCAAGGCATCAAGCCAGTGATGGGTTGGCTGGGAGGGAGAAGTTGGGTGATGGTTGGCTGGGAGGGAGAAGTTGGGTGATGGGTTGGCTGCCAACGTTGATTATGGGGTTGACGAGCATTTGTTTCATTTTTAATTTTATTTAGAAGCTTCCTTTATTAAAAATAATTTTTCGATTAGGTCCTTTAAATAGAACTTTTACGGGAATATTTTTAATTGTATTGCTTCTTTAGAAATATATATATATATATATATATATATATATATATATATATATATATATATATACAATCAGTGTTCAACTAGGAAACTAAATAAAGCTTATAAACAACCTACTTAATAAAGGACTCCTACTATTTACATTCCCTTTTTTCCTAATATTGACTCATGACTAACACTCCCGCTCAAGTTGGTGCATAGATATCACACATGCCCAACTTGACAAGTGAGTCATCAAACTTTCGACTACCTACAACATGAGTTAGAATATCTGCAAGTTGCTCCTCCGAATTCACAAAAGGTATTGACACAATCTTCCTTTCAAGTTTCTCTTTAATAAAATGTCGATCAACTTCCACATGTTTTGTCCTATCATGCTATACCGGATTATCAGCTATATCTCTCGCTGACTTATTATCACAGTATAGTCTCATGGTCTCCTTTGGCTTGAACCCAAGCCCTCAAGGAGTTTTCGAAGCCAGAGAATCTCACAAATGCCGTGAGCCATCCCTCGATACTCAGCCTCAGCTGAGGATCTTGATACTACCTTCTGTTTTTTACTTTTCCATGTAACCAAATTTCCTTCTACAAAAGTAAAATATCCCAAAGTAGACCGTCGGTCACCCACACTTCCTGCCCAATCAGCATCTGTGAACCCTTCAACCCTCAAATGTCCATGCTTCCGATATAAAACTCCTTTCCCAGGTGCAGACTTCAAATATGTTAAGATGCGCATAACAGCAGCCATATGATCTACACTCGGTGAATGCATAAATTGACTTACTACACTCACTGCATAAGCAATATCAGGACGTGTATGAGCCAAATAAATTAGTCTCCCTACAAGTCTCTGATATCTTCCCTTATCAACATATTTCTGATTCGGATCTAAACATAGATGGTGTTTTTCAACAATAGGAGTATCTACTGGCTTACATCCCAGCATACCAGTTTCTTTTAACAAATCCAAAACATACTTACGTTGTGACAAGAAAATACCTTTCGAAGATCGAGCAACTTCGACTCCAAGAAAATACTTCAAATCCCCTAGGTTCTTCATTTCAAACTCAGCCGCAAGATTTTTCTCCAACCTTGAAATCTCATCAAAATCATCTCCAGTAATAATCATGTCATCTACATAGATGATTAAAGCTGTCACTTTCTCATGCCTCTGTTTAACAAACAATGTATGATCATAATGACTCTGATAATACCCAAACTTTTTCATAACTCGAGTAAACCTATCAAACCATGCACGAGGCGATTGCTTAAGCCCATAAAGAGACTTACGCAACCAACATACTCCGGTATTTCTGCCAGCACTGTATCCAGGAGGAAAATCCATATATACTTCTTCCTCCAAGTTCCCATGGAGGAAAGCATTTTTCACATCAAACTGTTTTAATGGCCAGTCCATATTAGCAGCTAAAGATATCAGAACACGTACCGTATTCATCTTGGCAACTGGAGAGAACGTTTCTTGATAATCTACACCATATGTTTGGGTGTATCCCTTAGCTACCAACCTTGCTTTGTACCTGTCTAATGATCCATCGACTTTGTATTTGACAGTAAACACCCACCGACATCCAACTGTTTTTTTTCCTTCTGGTAAGGACATCACCTCCCAGGTATTATTCTTCTGTAATGCCAACATTTCTTCATCCATTGCTTTTGCCCACTTTGGATCCTTTAGAGCCTCCTCCACATAAGTTGGTACTTGAATAGCCTCCATATTGTCCACCAAGGTCTTGCGTTCTGGTGCAAGACCATTGCAGGAGACATAGTTGGCTATTGGATACTTCACTTTGCCTTCCGGAGAAAACCTGTCAGGTGGCACACCCCGATTTTGTCTCGGTGGCAACTTATATGCATTTACATCATTACTCGCGTTAGTTACATAATCATCCACAATACTTACCTCAGGTATATCCAGAGAAGATTCATTGGGCAACACTGTGGAGCTAGAGAGAGGGGGTTACGTCCGCAGACTTGTCAACAATCTGCCCTGACTGTAGATCACTATCACTCTCGGCTGCAATC